TTATATATATATAAAAATATATATATATATATATATATATATATATATATATATATATATATATATATATATATATATATATATATATATATATATATATATATATATATATATATGCAATTGAATCATCTTCCTAATTCAAGAACATCTTGAATAAATCACACATCTTATTAACAAACATATTAGTATATTTACCTCAAAAATATTGAAAAAGCAGAAACAAATAACCTGTGATTTTAATTTCTTGAATCAGCAACAAGATCAGAAACCCCTTTTGGAAATCTGTGTTTACATATATGTAAGAAAAATATTTATTTATTTTTTTGGAAAAAAAGAAAAAAAGGTGGAAAAAGAGAATCACAGGGATATTATCTGCTTTCTCTCTCTATATTATGAGTCATCTTTCTTGTATTTTGTTTCTCTCTCTAGCTTTTTAGAATGCACTTTTTGGCTGAGGTGGTCACTTTTTTTGGGGGGTGATATGTAAATATGAAATAATACAAAAAAAAGTGTTATCTACTTCTGAATCCTGCATGTGACAGTACGGGCAACTCATCCAAGCAGCCAATGGGAGAACGCCACGTCATGGTTAGGATTGGGCACCCGGTATGGGGAAGTTGGAAGTTGGGCAGTTGGATCCATCATCAAAGATAGATATTTGTAATGACTTTCTGTCTGCCAACTTTCGTGTCTTTGTTTATATACTAATAATACTAAATTTGACAAATAAATGAAGAAGAAAAAAAAGGAATTAATGACCTAAAATGAATTGTGTTGCCCTTATTTTGGTAGTAATAAATCTTTTATAACTTGACTTACCTTTTTTGATGTATATTTTTGTACCTGTATATTTGTGCACACAAACTTTGTAATACGATGATATAAGACGTAAAATCGTTACCGAGCGTTTTCGACCAACAGTTTTAACGAAAAATATCCAGGGAAAAAAAAATTATTCATCAATTTACATTTGTAGGAGACGAAAACAAAAACAAAAAAAAAGATTGGTATACAACTCATCGAGACGATAATTGCATTCCTCTAGTACGACTTTTCAGCTTGTGCATTTTTGGCAACCTGAAATAAATCAGGCTAAGGGGTTAGAAATAATTCAGTGTCGAAATTCGATGTTGCGATCCGAGAAACGGGCAATGATAGACGAAGATCAAGAAAGAAGCTCTTTTAAAGTACCTTAATAGATTAGATCAAGTTGACTTGACATGAACTTCTATGATGTCATTTTCTTCCATTTCAAGGCTATTAGGTGTTGCAGCTGGATTGATTTTATCCCCGTCAAAGCAGAAAACCAAGTTTTTCGTATCGACCTTAATTCTGTCTGCATACATCTTAAAAAGGCGCTCGAATTTATCATCCTGCACAATCACAAACCATAAAATGAACAAGGGCATCACAAATATTCAACTGTCTTAAGCTACTGTTTAAAATCGAGGAGAAAAAAAGAAAAGAAAAGATGCAGCGTAGCTTGTGGCAAATCTTAAACTTCACACGAAAAGATAAATACAAATTATGTACGTGAAAACACTATCGATCGTCTTAGTCTTAGTAAAAGAGTACTTTCACTGAAAGAAAGCATAATCTCCCGATCAGAGGTCTTACAACTAACATAGATATAAGTACACCAAGTTCTTGAAAACCCGTTTTAGTTTTGATATATTAAGATTTAGAGATCTATTGTTACTATCCGAGAAGATAAAATACTAAAAGGTGGCTAAGACATATAGAGTTATAGACCACTGAAAACAGTTTCCGCAAGTGCTTTGCTGTTCTTCATGCTACCCTAACATGTTACATTAGATTCCGAGGTTAATCTCGACATAGAACAATAGATACCTAAATCTCCTCTGCAACACCATTTTAATTACAAGATTACATGACACGATAATGAGGCTTTAAACGTGAATTTCTAAACATCTAAAGAAACGGTAAAAGCAGACTCAGATTGTACGGCCAAACTTGTTCCTTAAGTCATAAATTTACCATCGAAATACCAAAATATGCTGTATATCTTAGCTTTTTAAAGAAAATAAAGAAGTACATACCATGTAAACACGAAATTGTTTAAGGCCATCTTTATCCTGGATGGATATAACAAGTTTTTCCCGATCAGAAGGAGGCGGCTCCACTGGCTCCTTAGCAACACTCTTTGGAGAAGACTGTAAAGCAGCATCAAGGTCTTTTCTTACAGATTCTTCAACAGCTCTGACCATTTCCTCTGCTGACTGAGCAAAAGATGCCAACTCCTGCCTTTTCAACCTAAGAACACAAATGTTGAGGAAAGGGTAAGTGGACGAATTAAACATTTTTTCATAAAAAAATCGAAATTGTAGATTTAAAGAAACGGAATGAAATCATTTTGGCCATGCCATATTGCTAAAGTATCTTCATCATTGACAACGACGAATCTCAGTTCCAAACATGCTAGTGAATTAGTATACGAAATGATGGAGTTTCAAAACTGCCGCATAAGATAGTACTATGATGGGCCTAAATTTCTCATTTAACATAGATATGACAAACTTGCATTAACCAAGTCTTCATTGTGAATTCGGCTTCTAGTAGCAAATAACTGTAGTGGGTTCCGAATAAGTCAAGAATATGCAAAGATTCTTGCAGGGTTAAAACTGTTATATGAATAAGGTGCTATTTTCATAGAAGACCTAGTTCTGTCTTAAATATTCAAATACAAACAACGCATAATGCAGTTGGTGGTAAGCCATATTCTCATTTGCCCAGAACAATATACTAACTAACCACTTCAAGACAATAAGTTCTCACCACAAACTATAAAAAGGTAAAAAGAAAAAAGAAAAGGAACAGGTAAGAAAACCATACTTACTCAACAGTAATAAATTATCTAACAGCAGATTATGAAGAAAAAGTGTTTCACGAATTGTACCTCTCTGTTGATGAAGAGATAAACAAAATAAAAATTCAATTGACAAAACTAAACATATGCTTACTATAATGAGTATAATAATATGGTTAACCACATCAATTAGTGCAAGCCAGTCAAATAATGAAAAATATTTTTTTAATTCTTTTCCTATAGCATTACTACAAAGAAGTCGGAACCTACGAAGTTTATTTTGAGAAGACGAGAGCTTTATAACATAAAAAGGTAACAAAAAAATTGCACGTTTCCCTATTACATCTCAAATACTCAAGTACTTGGAGCCAGCGGGTGTGGAAGGAGGGAGAGGAGGAATTTCATCTAGGCCGGTAATAAAAAATCATTATTTAGTAATTTCCCAAAGAAGATGAACTCCCAAACAAAAGGGCCGGTTTATCTTATAGCATAATTTTGATCACAATGACAAGCAGGAATATATAGCTACATAAATTTTCCCCAAGTATGTGAAATTTACAGTCCTATCACCTATGTTATGTGACACGGAAGCAAAGCCGTATTGGACCTTAGGTTGTCTGCCTTAACAAGTGGAAAATCATTTAGTCATTCCTTAGAAGCAGTTCTCACCGAGGAAATCCGTATCATACACAAGTAGTCAGCGGAGTAAGCAAATACACTTACCTCAGCGCCTTCAAAGTCGAGTC